CACTACAGCTGGAAACGCCTGAAATGTCATCTCCAGGCCAGCAGCTCCTGGTGGCCCCTCAGCCAGCGAAACCCACTGAGCTCCCCCTTATACCTATTCCCATGCCAGAGCTGCTCTTGCCCTCTCCTGGCATTTATTTTTTCATTCTTTTTATTGTATGTATTTACTTATATTTTTGTTAATATTATCTTTTTTCAAATTAAATATTTCATTTATTCAGTTTATTGGCATGAAGTATTCTCAGAACACTGCACCTATCTCCACTATGTAGTTCCAGAACATTTTCCTGAATCTAGTACCCATAACCACTCCCATCTCCCCTCCTGCAACCCCTCATCATTCTAGCCCTGGGATATGCCTAATCTGCATTTTTCAAGTCAGTGCAGTCTCATTTCTATTTAGTCACATAATGTTGGAAGGGACTGATGCAGTTTATTTAGCAGGGTGAATGCCATACAGGTCTAAGTTTATAGGATTTTTATTTTTTTTTGTTGCGAATCTTTATCAAGGAATAATTTGAGAAAGATTCGCATTAGTTCTTTCAGTAATATCTGGTGATATTTCCTTTTTCATCTTGAATTTTGTTAACCTGAGTGCTTTCTCTCTTTCTTTTGGCTTTTTGGTTTATCAATTTTGTTTATCCTTTCAAAAAAGCAACTCTTTGTTTCATTGATCTTTTGCTTTTTTTTTTTTTCTCGGTGTCATTGATTTCGGCTCTGATTTTAATTACATCCTGTATTCTATTGATTTGGGTGTTGGTTCTTTTTTATTCTAGGGCCTTGAGATGTAATGGTAGATTATTTATTTGGTGTCTTTCTATTCTTTTGACATATAAACTTTCCTCTTAGAACKATATTCAAACAGTCCCATAGATTTTAATATGTTGTATCACTATTCTCATTTACTTGAAAGAACTTTTTATTTCTCCCCTGATTTCTTCTGCTATCCATTCATCATTTAAAATTGTGTTATTTAACCTCCAGGTATTAGAGTGGTTTCTTTTTTTTTTATCTTATCATTGATTTCTAATTTAATTCCATTATTATCTAATAGCATCCATTTTTCTTTGTATTTGCTAAGATTTGCTTTGTGACCTAAAATATTATCTGTATTAGAAAATATTCCATATGCTGCTGATGAGAAAGTAAATTCAGTTGTTGATGAATGAAGTATTCTATAAATGTCTTTGAGTTCCATATTATTAACTGTATTTTTTAGTTCTGTAGAATCTTTATTTTATGTCTGGCTGATCTATCCAGTGGTGAGAGAGGTATTTTAAAGTCACTGAATATTATTATATTGTGGTCTGTTTGATTCTTAATATTKAGAAGGATTTGTTTTATGTAAATAAATGCACCATTTTTGGGACACAAATATTTACAATCATTATRTCTTGGTGTTGTATAATTCCTTTATGCAATATGAAGTGACCTTCCATGTGTCTTCYGATTAGTTTTTGCTCAAGGTCCACTTCATGCAATATGAGAATGGTTACTCCTGATTGTTTAGGTGTATTGTTTAGTCATCTTTGAGGTGAGTCTCCTACAAATAGAATTTTTAGGATCTTATTTTTAATCCAATCTGCCAACATATGTCTTGTGATTAAAGAGTTTAGACCATTTACATTTAATGTTAGTACAGAGATGATTTTTTTCCTGCCATTATGATTTATTTCTAATGTTTAAGTTAGACTTTATTCTCCTTTAATTGACCATTCTTCTAGTGTAATTCTCCCTCAAATGGTTTTCATTTTTATTTTTCATTCTTCTCATGAGCTATTTCATTGAGTATGTTTTGTAGAACAGGCTTTCTGGTTATGGATTCTTTTAGCTTCTGTTTACAATGAAAGGTTTTTATTTTATCTTTAATTCTGAAGCTTAGTTTTGCTGGGTATAATGTTCTTGGTTGGCATCCATTGTTTTTCASAGATGGATATATATTATTGCAATCCCTTCTGGCTTTTCAGGTCTGGTTTGAGGAACTGGTTGAAATCCAGATTGGTTTATATGTTCATCAGCTCATTTTTGCTGCTGTGACTGAAAGATCTGATCAGCACARTTGTAGAAGAGGAAAAGTTTGTTTGGGGGCTCACATTTCAGAGTTCTTAGTCTACAGAAGGCCAGCTCCATTCCTTGAGTCTTGAAGTAAGGCAGAACATCATGGCAGAAGAGTRAGGCAGAGGGAAGTGGTTCACATGACCATCAGGAATCAGAGACTCCACTCACTAGATACAAAATATATACCCCAAAGCCATGCCCCCATGACCCACCCCCTCCAGCCACACAACACCTGCCTCCAGTTACCACTCAGTTAATCCCAACAGAGGGTTAATTCACTGTTTGGGTTAAGACTCTTACAACCCAAACATTTCCCTCTCTGAACCTTCTTGCATTGTCTGACATATGAGCTTCTGGGGGACACCTCACATCTAAACCATACAATTTACCTCTCTGTGTGACCAGTATTTTTCTCTTGTAGCTTTTCAAATTTTATC